GTGCTCGAGGTACGCCGCCTCCTGTGCCGGCGTCGCTCCCATCTAGACCGGCGGCGCACATACCCACTCGCGCACTACTCCCGTCCAGGAGTAGCGCTCGATGAGGGACGGCTCCCGCTCTGTCTCCGGCTTGATAGGGGACGGCGGGGCCACCGGCGGCACCACGCTGTCGCCCGCCACGGAGAGGGCAAGTGCATGCGCCATTGCCGCCTCGTACCGAGCCTCCTCTTCCACCTCCGCCGCCTTCGCCCTGCGCCGCTCGTCCTCCTCGCTCTCCCGATAGACGGCCGCAAGGGCCGCCTGGTCCTCCTCGCGGACAACGAGCGCCGGTGGTGGCAAGCTCCGGTCGACCTCGCGCACGCCCCGTCACCTCGCCTCCTCGTGCTCAAAGGCGAACCACCTCACCCAGTTGGGCGAGTCGGATGCGTAGGCGGCCTTGCGGCGCTGCTCCGGCGTCAGCAGCGCTTGCCGGCGCCGCACCTCCTCCGTGTGAGCCCGAGCCGTGCGCGGCGCCGCCGGCACTAGGATCCTATCTGGATCCAGATGCCAGTCGTGCGACAGCGTCACGTCGGGATACGGCAGAGGCTGGCGGTGCTGCCAGTGCCACTCCGCCTGGTGCACTAGCACGTTCACGCGCTGCCTCTGCCAGCGAGGCGCCGGCACCGGCGGAGGCGGGAGGAACTCTGAGGGGAAAGGGGTGGCGGGGGCCTTGCCCTTGGCCTTGCTGCCGCTGGCGCCAGAGAAGAGGCCCATCTCACTGTGGTTGTGGTGGCTAGGGTTTGCCGGCGACGAGGGAGCAAAGGTTGGCAGATGTGGACAGCGAGTTTGGATGAGGTCGGCTTAAAAAAGGATGAGCACCATTGTTGACGCGTGGGCCCGTGGTCATAAATTAAGCTGACCGCATGGGCAGCGGGTAGTTGGACGGCTGCCATGTGGGGACGCGACGGATAGAGAGAAGGCGCGCGAAGCATCCGTTCGGCATCCGCGCCGACGCATTTGGGGCACAAATTTGGGCCGCAAATGCGTCGGCGCGAACCCGACGCGGACGTGATTTGAGTCGGCGCGTTGGGCCGCCACTTTTGTCCGCGCTGACCCAAACGGACGCAGGCGGACGAAATGGGTCGGCCCTTTGGAGTTGCTCTAAAGCAGTGATGAGCGTGCTATGCCACGAATGTTTGCTGTGGCTAGTGGCTCTGCTCACCCGCCATTGTTGTTACAGGTAGCAGTAGCGGGCAAAACGAAATCCCCGCCACAGCTAAAAGCCTGCAATCAGTTATATTTTTTTATGCAGATACTAGCTGTGGCGGGCAGCCGGTCGCGCCCGCCACACATAGGTTAGCAGTAGATTGTCCAAATTCAACTCGAAGATTGCCGCCCGCCACCCCAAATTAGCAGTGGCGGGTCATCCACTCCCACTCCCCCCACCTCGCTCTCGTCGCCGCCCTCGCCCTCCACCGTGGCGCTGCCGACGTCGCCACTGCCATAGTTTTAGTTTTTAGTTTCTAGGTATAGTTGTAGTTTCTAGCTAGTTTTAGTTTGATAGTTGTAGTTTGTAGTTGTATAGTTTTTAATGCACACACTAAAACAAATTGTAGTTGTAGTTTGATATTTCTAGTTGTAGTTTATAGTTGTAGCAATCAAAACTAGACGTATATATGAACTCAACAGCCGTATAGTTGTAGTTTATAGTTCTTTACAGAGATACATACTATAAGCGCTAAAGTTTTGGCGAAGCGTTGATTTATTTCTATTTCACCAAATTTTTAGCACTTAATTTGTCCATTTTTATGAAGAGGTCATGCCAAATTTATTTGTTTATTTTTTATTCATATTGTGTTGCAGTAGATGTCTTTATTTCTTTACAAGGATTTATACTATAAGCACTAATGTTTTGGCGAAATGTTGATTTATTTCCGTTTCGCCAAATTTCTAGCTCTTAATGTGTCCATTTTTATGCAAAAGTCATGCCAATTTTTTTTGTTTTTAATTTCATATTGTGTTGTTGAAGATTTCTTCAGTTCTTTCGCCAAATTTATTTATCTGTATGTTTTAGGTTATTTTGTTTTTGAAATGGCGGACAACAGCAGGTACCGTGGTGTTTTCCATAGGCCCTGGGGAAGTGGGGCGCCCAAATCCAAAACACTGTCACAGGCAAGAAACAATGGCTCGACATGTTTGACTTAGCTGAGGATGTGGTGTGCGCTTACGATGCCATGGCGCTCGAGTACTAGGGGCGAAGGGCCCAGCTCAACTTTCATCAGGATGCTTGGCGCGCAAGTGAGATAGCACCTCATAACATGAGGATAGTCTCCAAGGTCGATAAGAACGAGCACCTGAAGGCCGAGGCGCTCATCAGGGCCCGTGAGCGTTAGAGCACCTATCCCTTGGTGGAACGGTATCTTCGGGATGGAACGCATCTGTACGCCATTAACGAGGCGTTGTTGATGACCGCATGCAACCAGAAGGATGCCGAGGATGACTC